CAGCCCCGCGGCTGCCGCCCGAGCTGCCGCCGCCGCCAGCAGCAGGAGCAGCAGCGGCCGCCGCGGCGCTCCTCGGACCTGCACATTCCTCTCCTCCCCTCGCGCGCGCTCCCTCCTCCCGCTTCCTCTCCTCCACCAGCTGACTCCGAGGGAGAGGATGACCTCATCCCTTCTCTTCCAGCTGCCGCCGCTCCCACCCCGGCTCGGGAGGGGCGAGAGAGGAGGAGGGCCCCGGAGGAGGGGCCGGGACCAAGACGCGCGGCTGCAGTGGGGGTGGGCGGCCGGCCGGTCCCGGGGGCCGAGAGCGGCGGCCGAGAGGCCGGAGGGGGACGGTCGAGGGCCCCAGCCCACGGGATTTCGGGGAAAGCTGGGTGGATTTTATGACACAGGGGGAGGGGCAGGAGGGCGCAGAGAGGAGGGATCCCGGCGTCCAGCCCTCGCGGAGGTCGAAGAGTGGGAACGGGCGGGTGTGGCGGTAGCGAGGACAGGGAGCGCAGGCCTCTTTGTATTCCGTTCTGATCTGCGGGTACCTGGAGAAGGGCTAGAGCTGGCGACGGTTGGGAAACGGGGTTTTAACTCGGACGCCTGGGCCCCGAACGCTGGCAGCGGCAGTGGGTGTGCCCGGCCTTGGAAGAGTTGGGGAGGGAGACGGCGTGCAGGGCCCGCAAAGGCACCGAGCGGAGCGCAGAACCGCTAGCCCAGAGTGCTGCGGAGAGTGGGCGGCTCCGCGGGGAGCCCCAGCCCGCGCCCTCGGGGGAAGGAACGAGCCAGAGTTCTCGGGTGGGCGGGAGCGCCCGGCTCCCGGAGGTGAGGAGGCGGCCCGGGCATCCTCCGTGGTCCAGGTCCACGCCGCCCGGTCAGCACGCCCCACGCGCTCTCAGCGGCGGGAAGCAGCGGAGCCACGGGGAGCGGCAGGCCCGGAGGCTGCCTTCGACCGTCTCTTCCCGCGGGTGGGAAACGCAGCACCCCAGGCAGCGGCTCGCAGCGCCGCGGGGCTGCTGGGCGGGGCCGGCAACAGCGGGAAACTGAGTACCGGCCGGCAGGTGGGGAGCGGCAGAGCCGCGAGCTGGCGCCACCTCCCCTACTCCAAAACAAGAATTACCTTCTCTTAAAGCTACAGGAGTTACGGACTTGATGTGTGGTCCCACAACTCCAGAAACGACTCGAATAAATTAAATCCGTGATCGAAGCGGTTCACCAAATTAGATATAAAGAGGATATAGGATACTTGGGCACTTGAAAAAATTCTTAAATACCCAATACATATAGGATCCTTTTTTTCTTTCTTTTTTTTATTATGTTATGTTAATCACCATACATTACATCATTAGTTTTTGATGTAGTGTTCCTAGATTCATTGTTTGCGTTTAACACCCAGTGCTCCATTCAGTACGTGCCCTCTTTAATACCCATGGGGGGATGGGTTAGCCTGGTGATGGGTATTAAAGAGGATCCTCATTTTTTTTTTAACAAGAAAATTTAGTCTGATTTGTCTCACCTAACTTTTGCAGTATAAGAGACCGAGGGTGTAATTCTTTAATTACACTGTGACTCACATGTTTTAAGACCAGAGGGAAGTGAGGCAACACGTGTTACACTGCCATTAGGAGCACCAGTTGTGGTCTTCTAAATCTGGAGGCAAAACATAACACCTTCCCCTCCTTCCCTGTTGTAGACACAGGCTCAGTTTGAACCAGTGTATGTGCCATTCTTAATTAGTAGCATCATGAAGTAGAACTGCACAAGAATTTCTGCATGTAGAAATAGCCACCCCAGATATCTGGTGCTAAAGCTGCTGTTTTAGCACCAGCCTGAACAAAGTGTAATTCTTCGCCACCCCTGGATGCGTCCTCCTTCATTCCTACAGATTGGTGCCCTGCGTGCTGCCTTACTTGGCTTTTCCTGACTGTGTGGCAGGAGGGTGTCGGGCCATAGAGCCCATAAACATGACGTGGCATGGACAGATCCAGTATCTCCAGCAAAAGTCATGGCCAAGTGATGAATAAAGGTCAGTGCAGTACCACTGAGCCAGTTAGAATGCCAGGCAAAGGGTGTATTTTTAAAACTAGCTTTAAACTTGGGTCCTCTTGGAGTAAGAAAATTCCTTTTAGAATAGTACTCTGGTACTATTTGCCCAGGGTCCAAATCTAAGATTTCATCTCCAGGGCACTACAGCTGATCTCGCTGTGTACCAAACCATTGGGGAGAGGTATGATTTCTTAGGTGACCGGGTCCTAGGTGATGGAGTGTATTCTAGGTCAAATGCAGTGCCTTAAAAATGTGCCAGGTGTGAAAAGGCCCTGCAGAATATCTGAGGTTCTAAAGGCCTGGAGCTGACTGAAGGTTCCTTTAGAGCAGGGATATTTCTTATTCCTCCAGTAACTGTGCACAGCACCTGCACAGACTATTTGCTCAATAAATTATAGTTGAATGAATGCATGAATTTATAGAAAGAACATTCCACAACAGAAAGAATGCCACATTCTGTACTAACTATGTTCCCATGGAAACATAGGAATTAGACTTATCCTGTTAGGTTCTAAAAAAGAAATAACTAGTAATGGTTTCCTTAATAATACATTAATTCAAAACTGTCTAGACTCTTTAAAGTTTCTGTCTAAACCATCACTGGAAAGTGATGGTAGGAGGAGTATTCAAGTAGGAGATCAGAGGATGATCTCCTTCACATCCAGGCTCTCCTACTTACTGGCCCCAGGATCTGGGCAAATTGCTTAATACACAAGATTAATAGGAGGATTAGATGAGATAATGCGTATTCTGGGCTTTGTATGCAATATTGTTCTCAAGAGTCTCTAATCCCATAAGTCTATTATTCACATCTCAGGATGTGGATTTTAATATCACCTGCTCTGTCATAATCACTGCACCTGTCAAGGAAGAGGGACATAATGGTTAAGCACTCAAGAGTTCAGACTCAGACAGAGGTGTCCTTGGGCGTGTTATTTAACCTACCTGGCTCTCATGTTCATCATTTGTAAAATAGGGATGACAACAGTCTCTAGTATCCACAGTGGTGGCCAGGAATAAATTAAATGATACAGGTAAACTGACACTGTGTCCAGCCCATTCGAACACTAAATACACAATAATCTGTTAATATTATTGTTTCTTCCACCCCCTCATGTTTTCTTGTCTAACTCAAAAATTTTATGTTCAGTTTGTTCACTCTCCCTAAAATGAGATTTCCTCAAAACGCTGTCCTTGGACCACCTGCATCAGAATCAGTTGTTTTTGGTAAGGTTTCCTGGTCTATCAGAACTGTAATCTCTCCTTCGATGATCTTGTCTTCCATTTTATCTCAGAGGTTCACTTCCATTGTCATAATCTAACCCGGGGCATTACCCAATTGCAAGCATCATCTCCATCACAAGTATCCCGCTATGATTAATCGCTCCTAAATGGTTAACTCACTCCCTCCAGGACCCTTGGATTAAATTCCACTGCATTTTCATGCCCTTTAACCGATGTGGCCCTCACCTTTTCTCTTACATTGCTGAACTTTCATGGTCAGCCACCATTAGCCCTGCCTCAAACACATCTTCATCCCTGACATCCCTCCTACTTGACGAAACACCAAGCCTATTTATACTCCACTGACTGTGGATCTGAGCCCCTGCAACTGGCCATGGCTGGAGGAAGGATGCAGCCACACTGAGTGAGCTCCTTTTAGATCCATCACGGGAAGACTGCAGTGGACCCCAGGCCTGTTCAGCCTTACATCATGTCTTCCTCATCCTTTTTCTCTTCTATTCTTCTAAAGGATTATTTCTTTTCTTATTTTCCCCTCTCAAACTTTATTTTTAAATATTTGATTTATTGGGGCACCTGGGTGGCTGGTTACGCATCTGCCTTTGGCTCAGGTCATGATCCCAGGGTCCTGGGATGGACTCCTGCATGGGGCTCCCTGCTCAGCGGTAAGACTGCTTCTCCCTCTCCTGCTCCCCCTGCTTGTGTTCCCTCTCACTGTCTCTCTCTCTGTCTGAGGGAGAGAGAGCAGAGCAAGAGAGAGCATGAACCTGGTGAGGGGCAGAGTGGGAGGGAGAAGCAGACTCCCCGCTGAGCAGGGAGTCAGATGCCAGGACCCTGAGATCATGACCCAAAGCCTAAGGCAGACACTTAACCAACTGAGCCACCCAGGCACCCCCCTTCTCAAATTTTAAATACCTCCTTCCCCTTACTTTCAGCTGGTGCTTCCCATTTCACTGAGAAAAATGAAGCAATCAGAACAGAATGCACAAAGCTTTCAGTACCTCCTGCCCCCCACTAACCTCTGTACCCACATACTCAGCTTCCAGCCTGTAAGAGGAAACCCCACTTGCTCACCAGCTCCCATCCCCTCTCACTGCTCACCCCTCTCACAATTCACGGCTAATTTCAACAATCATGGGTTTTCCCTCTGCTGGAACACCCCAATCAGCCTACAAACATGCTGTTATTTATCCACTAGTTAAAAAACAAACAAAACAACAAACAAACACACAAACAGAAACCCACCAAAACTTCTTTTGATTCCAGTGCCCTTTTAGCCACCAAGAAATCTCCCTACCAGGCTTTCACACAGTTTCTCTAGAGTTGCCTAGGCTGGCTTTCTTCAATTCCTTTTCTACCCTCTTGCACTCACTCAGATACACCCAGAACCACTCAGATACACCCAGAACTGCCCCAGTGAAACTGCCCTCACTAAGTGCGCACCACCATCTCTACTTTACTAAACGTCCCACTTCTCATCTTACTCGGGACCTTCGGCAGCATTGACCTAGTTGACCACTCACTCCCTGTTCACGGAAATATGTTCTCCACTTGTCTTCACTATACCACACACTTGTTTTTTTTTTCCATCCAAAAGCCTGCTTCTCTGCTAATTCTGGGTCCTTTGATAATTCTTTCTCATTTCCTCTATCTTTAAATAGGCTCAGTCCTCAAATCTTTCTCTGTGTACTCTTGCTCCCTCGATAATTTCATGAAATCTTCTGTTTTAAAATACCATCTATATGGTGATAACTCCCATATTTATTTCTCCAGGCTGGATATGCCTGAACCCCAGAATACACCAAACAGCTTTCTTAACGTCTGTACTCGGATGCCTAATGGACATCTCAAATTTAAATGGTCTGAAATTGCACTTCAAATCCTCCCTCATCCTTCAAAATCTGTTTCTCCTTCCTCATTTCAGTTAATGGCAACTCTTTCCTTTTGTTTCTCAAACCAAAAAAATGTAGAGTCATCTTTGGCCACTTTTTTCTCTTAGGCCTTATGTCTCATCTGCCAGAAAATACTTTTTGGCTCTACGTTCAAAATGTATTTTTATTTGACCATTTCTTACCATCTTCCTTGATGCCACTCTGATATGATTCACAATTATCTCCCCCATGGATTCTTGCCTCCCTACTGGGCTTCCTGTTTGTTCCCCTGCGGCCCTATAATCAACACAACAGTCCAAGTCATCCTTCCCTAAGCAAGACAGATCATGTTATTCATCTACTCAATCAGGGTCAGCAACAAAATTTGTGAGGCCCAGTACAAAATGACCCTGGCGAGGGGCAAGGAAGCCAATCTCCTTTCCCACGAACCTCTGTTTCAACCCACAGTGGACAAACAATCCTCAAGAGATTGCAGCCTTCACACTGAGACATACTCAGTACCTGGATCCTGGATGGGCGAGACACCCCTGCTGAAGGCTCCTAAGGCTGCCAGCTCAAGAAGGGGAAGGCTATCACCTTGCCTCGCCCTGAAACGCCATGGAGCACCCACCTGGCCCCAATCCTCCCCACTTCTGTGCCTAGGGCTCCACTAAAGGTGGAGGACAATGGTGATGGGACACAGGGGAGAGTGTGGAGGGGGAGGTCAGTCACGGCTAGAGCACCAGGAGGTGGCAAATAGGTAGCAGAGGATCCATCCAAGGGAAGCAGGGAGGTGGAAACAGAACCATTGATGAGCTAAGGCTCCAAGTCTTTGGCACGTGTTTCATCGTCCCATCAGAATTCACTTACAAGACACAGATTCAAAGAGTAAACATTGGCAAATGCAATGCATTGAAGTGTTAGGCCCTTCTAAGCATGGACCCCCATGCACCTACACTGGTCACACACTAATGACGCTGGCCCTGGCTTATCTTCATCCAACATCTTCTCATCTTCCACCATAGAAAAAAAAAATTTTTCACCTTGGCATGCAAAGCCCTGCATAATGTGACTCCTGGGCGACCAGTTCCTTCTGACCCTATTCATCCATTCCCTCCCTCTGCTGCATCTACCCTGCTCTCCTTATGATACCTCAAATACATCCAAAAAGATACTGCCCAGGGTCTTTGCAGATGCCGTCCATGCTTTCTGGGATGTTTTTCTACAAGGATCCAAAAGGTTTGTTTCATTTTCTTCAAGTCTTTACTTCAAATCCTCATTCATGAGACCCTTCACCTCCAGCGTGGTCATCCTTATTTTGAATAGAGGTCCTCTCTTCACCTTACTTACACACTTTATAACCAAGAGAAAGAGGCCTCTTTTGCCTATGTAAGGCCCTTACTCAAAATTCTGATTTTGAACCTCTCTGAACCTCTCACCCAAGGTTCTACCTTTTTCTATGGCAACTAGAATGGGAGACCTCCCCATTCTGCAAAGAGCCCACACACTTACCAGTAGGTACTAACTTTACAGAGGGAATACATGGACTCAGGAGAGGTGTAAGGAGTAAAACAGAGTCAATATTAAATATTTTGATTCAATTTACTTGACTTTGAAAAGATAGAGGTGAAAAATAAAGTAGACTCAGATATTCCTTATGGCCAGCCAGGAAAATCAGTGGTTAAATATTAACCAAATTAAGGATTCCACTTGCACTATGGTACAGACTGAATATTTGTCACCACCAGTCTGTGGTGTTTTATTATAGCAGCCTGAGTAGACTCAGACAGGGTGATTATCCATACTTATACTGCTGTCCTGTATTTTTGTTTACTAATAAGAACTTCAGTTACTGAAGTAACTGAATGCTACAGAGACAGTTGTCTTGATGAGTAAGCCAGTGGTATATGTCCCAGAACCTTTCTCTGGAATCCACCCAGAAAATTATCAAATTGAGGATTTTTCACTTAAAGTGTCAACCATAATTCTGAGAAGAGTGTAGGGCTTCACATCCAGTCATTTCAAATTAGTGCAGAAGTACCCTCTGGAAGTGTTCAAAGAATTGGTAGGAACCTATCACAATAGAGCTATTTGCTCTTACTTATTGGCCAGTGACCCCTCCTATGTGCCAGGACACCCTTCACTGCACCATCCCCAGATGTAGGGAGATCTCTCTTCTCCAGACATCTGGACCATACCCTTGCCCTGCCACAAAACCCATTTTCCCAACTCCTGTCCATTCTAAAGGCTTCCATTTAAAAGAATAGAAGAACATATGGTTTTTTCAGTGTAAAAAAAGAAAAATAGGGGCACCTGGGTGGCTCAGTTGGTCAAGTTTCTACCTTCCACTCAGGTTATGGTCCCAGGGTCCTGGGATCAAGTCCCCACATCCCTGCTCAGCGGGGAGCCTGCTTCTCCCTCTGCCTCTGCCCCTCCCCTGTTCATGTTCTCTCTCTCTCAAATAAATAAATAAAAAATCCTTTAAAAAAGAAAGAAAAAGAAAAACTTTACAACCAAGAGGAAATATAATTATCTCCTACCCTATGTTTTTCAAACACTATTGCCTTGTTAAGACCTCATGACACATAAAAAACTACACAGACAGGCATCTTACCACCATTTGAAAAAAAGAGTCAAAGAGACCCTGAGAGTTTGAAAGACTGCTTGCTATCACAATTCTTATGGGATAAGCTAAGAAGATGTATTTTTCCCCTAAAACTGTAGGGATTGTTGAAGCCTTTAAAATAAAAAGAGTGGCATGACTAATTTTGCATTTTGGAATGAACAGTCTAGGAGCAGAGTGGAGAATTGAAGAGAGATCTTGTATAGGACCCTTTATGACGTATGAT